AATGTAGCGGGCAAGTTCAGCGCGGGGATCGACGAGAAGAAAGTCTTCACGGCCGGAGAGTGGATGGTGCAGCGGGCTATTCAGCTTGGTAACTAACCCCTCAAAAAAATAATAATGAGAAAAAGGGGGAGAGGGGGTGTTTGAATGTTGGGACTGACAGAGGTACAGGGTATTTGACGTCGAGAGGATGACGAGACGGATCGGTTAATTGGTGGTTGGTGGTTGGTGGTTGGTGGTTGTGTTTTCTTATGTAGTAACTTGGTAATATTCCTGCAAAGATAACGAAATTTATGTCAAGTTCCAGGCATCTGGTCTTGAAGTGATCCGTCTCACCTCATCCATGGGATATAGCAAAGATAGCTAGCATCGATGTTGCCCTGAACTGACCCTAAGGCCCCATCGTCGTGATTCCAGAATTTTGGGGCTGTGGTCTCGTAGGTAGTACTTAATGTGGTCAACCTCTCGGCTAGAGTTTCTTGGTATCATGAAGTTTAGAGCGACGGTTTTTCGCTCCTACTCCTACTTTCTTCCCTACTGAACTTCTCTCGAATGCATATTGCCTGTAGATCGGCTACGCAAGCGAGGCTATCACGAGTGACCCTGTCAATTCACACAAGAACATAGGAGCGGAATCCATCATTCTTAATCTTTGTATTTCGCTGTCTTATCATGTGTAGCATATATATTCAGTCGGCATTGTCAACAATATGAAAAATCATCTCCAGCCCCCTGCATGCCCAGTATGGGCAGCAGAATCCAGTAGAGTGCGGCGGTGAAAAGCAACTGAAAAGCGTTACAACCCTAGCATCCGTTAAAGGCATTGAATAAACTCCTATAATCCCAAACCTGAAGAACCAAGAGAAGGTGAAAACACCCCGGCCCCTTTTTGAGCTTGCAAAGCCGGACAACCCAATGGCTATGATGCTTGAAAAAGCCCCCTGATTATATACGTCAATGAACGTTGCTCGTGAACAATAGAGTGTAGTGGTATCCTGAGAAGTCAAGAGAGCGTAACGAAGACCATCGAACTGCGCATATGACCGTCGTCGTGTCGTGTCTGTCGTGAAAAAAATATATAGAAAGTGTGTGAAGACCCAACAAGACTTCATGCCCGCTCGCCCATACTCAATCCCGAAAGTGCCGCTGACCCAAAAGGAAGGACTTTATAGCCACCCATATTGAACGCCGAATCCGAAAACGAGAAACTACTCAAAACGACGAAAGAGGAGACCCTGGAAAATGATGAAATGACCAAACGGAGAAAAAGGAAAAGAGATACGATCTGGGAAAAGCTACCGGATGTCCAGCTGGAAGGGCTTGAAGCGACCCCCTATAGTCGCGCAGCGAGGACATTTCCTCCGGGCACCTTGCTCGCCCATCAGAACGTCGACGCAGGCTTGACAGAGACCGCATATGCATTCCGTGCAGGCATACGACTCTCTGAGGAGGGAGACGCCCTGGCACGCGGCACAGTAGATCTGCGTATTCTGGGAGGAGTAGCTTGGGGATGAATCGGAAAGGCCTCGGGACTCAATGTGGAAGTTGTCTCCGCTCTCACCGCTCTCGACGGACGGGAAGGGTTCGGGAGCTTCAGGGTTGTACGACGGAGGTGTAAGAGCTTGCTGCAGCGGGGAAGCTTGATAGCTTGTGAACGCGTTCTGGTGGTAGGGCGGCATGGATTGCCGGTGAATGGATATGGGCGATTGAGGCACCTGGCGTGTCAGGTAGGGGTCCAACTTCGTATGGAAATGCGGACTCACTGGAGTTCTGTCCTCGTCAATGTCTTCGGTCGCTGAAGCGGCGGCATCAATCAGATCCTCCCAGCGCTTGCCGATATCGCCGCCCGAAGGCTCTGCTGAAAGAGCTTTCCTGTCGTTACCTCCTGGTCGCAGAAAATCCGGGTTGCCATCGTTCTGGAGTCGGCGAAGCCATTCTGCGGCGGCAGTTTTGGATTTCTTCCGCTGATGACCCCTTTTGGTGACGGATTGTTTGCGTGGACGACTAGGGCCAAGCGGCCTGTGCAGAGGAGGAAGTGTAGAAGATCGCCCAGGAGGCGAGGTTGAGAGGATCGAGGGCAGGATTTCTCTCTGTCGATGGTGGTCAAGCCCGGGAAGCTGGACGTTCGTCGCCTCGGTGTTCGTCAGGTGTATTGGGGGTAGCTCGATTGAAGAGCGCGGTATCCTTCCGCCGTCATGGTCCGAGTGCCAATCCTGCAAGCAGAACGTTGAGCAATGACTGTCTGGTAGTTTGCGCGGCAGAGAGTGCAGCTATACTTACCACTTCAGAATCCCAGCCGCTCGGCTCAAGCTTATTGTGATTGTGCAGTTGCGCAAGGGCGGCTGCAGCAGGGAACATTGAAGCGCCGCCCCCATACTCGTCTAAATGGCGCGGTGTTCCGGGCGCACTGGAGTCGTCTCGATGGAAAACATGCGACAAGCCTTTGTTCTGGCTCGCATGCGGAGCGCCTGAACTCGCTTGGGTTTGGGGTCGCTCGCTCGGTGGGGTATTGATCATGAGAAGGAAGCTTTCCTCGGTTGCGGGTAGCTTGGAGATGTAATGTTCGGGGTGCGCACGGCGAATGTGCTCCTGCATCGATCGATATCTCTTCTCCTGTAGTTCATCGCGATTGTCAGCCTGGCGCATGCACCTATTATCCAAACTTCTAGTGCAGCGCAACAGGAGAGGCATCGAGGCTGGGCGGGAGAGCGGAAGAACGAGCGGGAATTTGTCTCGCGGGCACAACTCACGCCGATGCAGCGCTTGCGACAGCTGGAGCCATCGTGGTTCTGCAACGGGCAGACAACCTCATTGTTGGAGTCCGTAATTGAGAAGGACGATGTAAGAGACGACCTGGGCGGCATCTTGACCCCCCACCATACGGTTTCGAGGAGCTTTGGCGGGGATGTGCGGACGATAGCTGATTGTCGATAAGGATTCGGGCGTAGGCGACTCAATTGAGATGTTGCTGGCTCGCGATGTTAAAGCTTGATGCGCTGGCTTTTGTCGGCTTGAAGCCAAAAAAACAGTGCGTTTCTAAACTAGGACCATGGAGAAGAGAGCTCCAAGCTCCTCTCGCAGGTGTGACAGAAGGTGTTTCGAAGAATGTGGGTGATATGAGCAACTTGAACGATAATGGGACCTTAGGTGGGAAGCAAGGCAGCGGAACAACTTTAATCGAGGGCGGGAGGAAGAAGAGAGAGACAATCAAAACTAGGAGCACCTCACTGCTAAGAAGGAACATGTGAGGTAGCAAAACGGTCCATAAAACTTGGTCGTTCTAACGGGAGGGGGGCGCATCTATCTGTAGGGGCGACCGAAAACAGCGTTGGACGTTGGCCGTGGACAAGTAAGCTAGACCGGTCCAAAGCCTTCACACCTCCAACTTAGATAGCTCGAGCAGACAATCACCCGCAGATGGTCATCAGGACAGGACCGGTACTGTGCTGGCCATGGACACTACCTGAGCTGCAAGTAAGTCAGGTGGCTTGCCAACAAGTACCGACTAACAGTAGAAGCGCAGCAGGAATGTCAGAGGGCCACTGTGCCAATGTGGGATGGGGCCCGAGCTGGAGGTGTGGGAGGAGAGTGAAGGGAGGGCACAAGAGGGTGGGAAGCATGGAAGGCATGTCGTCAGGGTCGACAGGGGCATGAAGAGAGGGGCAAGAAACCCCTCGACTACACAGTACCCGTTCGTGGATGGCGAAGGAAGCAGCTGCGACAGGGGCGCCTTGATCTGACCTAAAAGGCCGCAGGCACTCATGAAGCTTGTTCTGGCCGATGTTCCAAAATCCCAGACCATGGCAAACCTCGTTCCAGCGGCAGCTCGGCGCTACCTTGTCAGCTCTGTGTCTGGAATTGGAAATAAGCGGCCAGAACGGTGTGGATGGCGCGAGAGGCGACACAGCTAGAGCTGCCGTCCAGCTTCGCCCACATCCGCTTGCTGACGGTCAAAGTCAAATGGCAAATGGAGTTGCGACTAGGGCTCCGAGACCTACTTCTCTTCTTGAGCGAGCACCGAATCTGCTGCACGAGCCGCCCAGCTCGACGAGCAATTGGTCCAAGCTGGGACTGACTGGTGTTCTGTTAGGACGAGCTCCATGACATGAATGGTTGATTGTCCTGACTCGATCGAGGATCGGATGGGGAGTGTCCCGGACAAAGGAGGGTGGGGTGCATTGTCAGAGGAGAGAGCTGGAAAGGGAATTCAAAGGATCTTCGGCGATTGGGCACCAAGCGTCGACGGAGCTGGGGGAAGCTTGCTGGACCTTGAGCTTCCCAAGATAGCGAGCTTGAGTGAGCTTCCGAGACATGGGCAGTCTCGCTTCCGTACAGCAACCCAAATGCTTCCATGCTTAAGCTGAAATCCAGAGTAAGGATGTGTAGCCTGTCAAGACTTGTCTAGCCTTACAGATGAAACGTTTGGCAAAAGTCAATTCGCTTTTGCCCTTTCTGAGTTGCAGAACGAGCTGCAGAACGAGTCGAAAAGTGCGCAAGCTGCAGAGGCCCTTGCTAGAGCCGATTGAGGAGTAGATTATGTGGGTCGCCAGGGTTGGCGGATGGCTTGGAATAAATCGCGGGGCCGGCGCCCGTCATCCAACTGGGAACCCGTGCTTCTCCCTCCTTCACATGCAGTTTGCCGGATAAGATAACAGGAACTGGAAACACCGTGATCAGGTCCGCTTGCTCTTCTTGTTGCGACTCAAAAGCTGCTTCAGACCCTTAACTCTTAAGGAGCCCATTATCGTAGGTCTTGCATTTCGCAAGCTGACTCGAGATACAGCTTCTGAGTTTATCTTGGAATGAGACGGCGGGTGCGACAGAGGCTGCCCCGCCAGACTGACCCCGCCAGAGACCCTCACTTTCGAAGGCTGGATCCTGGTGGCGACAGGCTGCCAGCAGCCGTCTTGCTCGGCACAAAGGCGGTGAAGGGGTGTGCCTCGATTTCAAAAGTCGAGATTCCCGCTCCGAACGCTCAACTCACCGAGCTACACTCGGCAGATGGTTGTATAGTGTAGCGGTTATCACTCCGGATTCTGATCAGCTAATTTGATTAATTCCGGCAACCCCGGTTCGATTCCGGGTACGACCTATATTAGTATGTTTACATTTTTGTCCGTCTTCCTCCCTTTTGAGAACTAGCATGTCGTACACTTTAAGGGAGATGGGCCGCGCTGTGGACGAGCCCGTGAATTCAGTTTTTGTGGCACTCTAAAACACAATAAACATTTGGAGTTTCTCTCTTGCACTCATCCAAGCTGAGTCTTATCAGTTTGGTCCTAGGTTTTTGGCTCTTCGAGATAGGAGGAAGACAACCCGTCGAAGAAGGCCTGGTGGGTCCTGAGTTTTCCCGTTGAACATGTCATCGTGGGGCACCTTGCAAGGCGCTATCAAAATTTTTGACGACTAAGCCAAGCCTTCACAGAGCCGAGCTTTTGAATCGAAGCATGGCTGGAGCTTCAGCTGGGATGATGCCAGTTGCCACTTGAGATGCTAAAATGTCTGTCAACCGTTATGTTCTATTTTGGGGTCGATTCGACATGCGCCGCAGCCCGCTTTCCACCAGGCCGTTTTGCTCCTGCTGCCAATGAGCGAGAACGCGTCGAGACAAGTTGGCTTTACTGACACAACCAAGCACGCCAATCTATTCCGTGCATCCGGATTCCGAGGCAACATCAAGGCAGGCTCAGGTAACCAACCATATTTCCTATGTGCTGTTCGTTTCATGAAACGTAAAGTCTGATGAGATCTACCGAAAGGCTTGAACTACATAGTTCACGCGGCAGATTGTCGATCTAAAGAACATAGCTTCAAGCCAATGATCGTTCAAGCCTGTTGTATCTTTACAATCCCCGGACTTCACGTCTGCAAAAGAAGTCCCATACCTGCCTAGCTACACTTCTTTCAGTGGAACAACGCTGATTTCCGTCGTTTTGTGACCTTCAGTCACACAGACATGCGACCCAAAAGTAGCTCGGGCACTGTCAAATCTTACAGCTTGGAAGCATACTACGAGCAAGTCTCCTTGAAAGTCAGCGTTTCGCAACTTTCTAATAAGTTATTGTTCGAATTCTTGTCATCACGTACCGATGCACACATTTTGCAAGCGCTTGGCTAACGCGCATCGAACAGAACGACGCAGTCCATGACGACGTGCCAAAAGCAACTACGGCGCAGCAATGGCAGATCTCACTGATGGATCTAGCGTTAGCTGCTGCAAGGGCTAGCTTCCCTGTGCAGCTGCAGGGTTCTAACAGGGACTGCAGGGACAAACACGCTAAAACTCTCCTCGAGTTGCCTTAACTCGCTCTGACTTGCCCAAATGGACCACGAACTCCAGACGGGAAGTCGCATCCCCGGCTTTGTGCCACCCCTAATCACGTTCTTCACGTTCTTCACGCTGGAGGTGTCACACACTCTCGCGTCAACCTGCCATTATGTCTATTTGCCGTGAGGCGTCACAAGCTGGGCGCCGCTATGCAGTCGTGTGAGGTCAGCGGTGCCCTTGTTGCGCCAATCCCAACTCTTGAGCCAAATCGTTTTCAAGTGACCCATTCCCACCTCTGTTCAGCTGCCATTGTGTGAGGTGCACTCTCTCCTTTAGCATTTTGCTGCCCGCTCGTTCCTCCTCAATCCAGCGAGCGACGTCGACGTCTTCCCATCAACGAATTTATGTTTCACAACTATTTCCTCTGGTCCAAGGGAGCTTGCTGTCATGCGTGCCCAAGAGCCTCTTCTAGCCATATCACTCTGCACTGTTTCAACTCCATTGCCAACAACTAAGTGAGATTTTCTGCAACCTTGGAGCTCTAGCTCTTCAAACGCCCAATCACTCTCGCCGTATTGAATCCATGATGGCGTTAACAGTCAAGCACCTCAACGATGACGCTTCGTTCTTGCTCTCGTTCGAGCCGGTCGTGCCCAAATCCAGCCCGGGACCGAGCCCACAGCCTTTCCGGATACTCCTGGACCCATGGATCACAGGCGCTTCCAAGATCTTGCACTCCAAAATATCGAAGACCACCCACAGGCACCCGGCCTGTATCTCGTCCCTGATTGAGCTTCCCGAACCCGACCTGGTCATCATCTCTCAAGACAAGAGTGACCACTGCAATGAGGCTACTCTTCGACAACTGCCGGCTACGGGGACCAGAACAGTGGTTCTCGCTGAACCAAGCTCGGCCCGCATCATCCGCAGCTGGAAATATTTCGATCGGCAAAGGGTCCGCACACTGCCCAGATGGGAAGACCCCCGGGTCACGGGCCACCCGAATGTCATGCGGATTGAGGTCCCGCCCCTCGTTCCGGGTGGAGAAGCCGGGGAGGTAACGGTGACCTTCATCCCGCAACGGCGGGACATGTCTGGCCTTCACGGTGCTGTGGGCATAACCTACCGGCCCCCGGCAGTTGCGCCACTGCCGCCTTCTTCTTCTCCTCCTCCGCCCTCTCCTGAGACGCCAGCTCTTCTCACCCCTCCTACAACGCCAAGGTCACATAGGTCCCATGCGAATCTGAAGACCATTTTCTCGCGTTCAACCCCGGCCGTGCCCCATCATGATGCCTCGGCTGGCGGTGCCCTCATGCCGCCAAGTCCCACATCTCTCAGTCCCGGCTCCCTTCGCTCGGTGCGGTCCGCGTCGTCGCTCGGCACGACGCAAAACAGTTGGAACAGGCCAGGCTCACAACCAGCGTCTGATCGCACTCTCAGCGTCATCTTCTCCCCTCATGGGATCAGCTACTCATCGCTCCACAGCTATGCGACATCTCACCTGGGCTCGGAGGCCGCTTTGCCGCTTACAGCTCTTTTGCACTGCTTTGACTCGGTCACCACACCATGGTGGCTCGGTGGAAACGTCCTGCTGGGAGCGCCAGCGGGCACAGAGACAGCGGGTAGGCTCGGCGCCAAAGCATGGATCAGTGCTCACGATGGAGACAAGGAAGTCAAGGGGCTCACTGCGGTTTTTTTGAGGACCAGGAAATGGCGGCGTGAAGATGTCCTCGGTGAGCTGAACGCCGGCCAGACCCAAAAGGACGGGTCAGATCCACCCACAAACACAGCCACCGAAAAGCCGTCAAAGGGCACCGAGGTCTTTGCCCTTGGGAGCGGGGAAGAGGTTATACTTACCAACGATGGTGTTGCGAACGGGCAGGAGCAGGAGCAGGATGAAGCTCCCGGCTCGCCTTCTATCATCGTTTCGAGGTCAACTACGCATGATAGGGATCACGAGCCCAATGAGGATACCGATCCTGAGAAAGGGGCTCTGCGAGCAGCACCGAGCTTACCACAGATCACGATACATGACTTTCCGAGCTTTGCCAACCTTGGGGAAGTCATGAACCGACCAGATTGGGGTTGACATGTCATTCACATCACATGTTGTTTAAGGCCTTCCTTCTTTTCCCCTTCTTTTTTTATAGGGAACGCCGTGTGTGTTACTATACTTTTTCTTTGTTTCTTTTCTTTCTATACTTGTCGTTTACCACTTCCTTTCTTTACAGAGAAACTCGACGAGCACGGAACTTTTTATCGACGACGGGCAACCACGCACGATGACTGGCAAATGGGGGTGGTGTTGAGGGGGTGGGAAGGGGGGGCCTTATGGAGAATAATATACCACTAAGTATGTGGGGGGGATGCTTTCATCTGTTTTTTGTCATGTTTTGTTTGATGTTTTTATACCCCTGTAGACTGGCTGTACACTACGTATATGGACAACTTGGGGATTTCAGGGGATGGGTGGGGTGTAGGTATTTGTAACTGAGACGCTCTGGTACAGGGAACTGTGGTCAGCAAATTTGTGACGTTTATCTTTCCATGTATCTAGTATGTAAACCAGACCTGGCTTATCTTCCTCCTTCAATATTGCGATACTGAACGAGCCAACTCGGGGGGATTCTGCTTGTAATACATCACGACGCCCTCACCTCAATAGCGAGCGCTTCTTCACATAACGTCCATTACACGGCACCATCTCACGTTTTGCAGGTTCCACTGTGCAGCTAATAATAGGAGACAGGATGGATTCAAGTGCAGAAAGCACCGTGACTTTTCAAAGTCTAGATTTCCGACATTTTGCTTTGCTTCTTCTCTGTTTTCTAATGTGATTTGATTATAGCTTCAACCGTCTCATGCCGTTCGGGATAAGGCGTTTTGAGCTTCGGTAGAATAGTATAGTAGCCTTGTAGGCCCTAGCACCATATAGGTACCTATTTTGAACATCAACTACTACTACTACTACTACTACTACTACCACCTCACCATCTTCACTCGTCGAAGCACACATTTTAGTTTGATATATCAGTTTCAAACAGGTTGTTGGACAAGAGAGCGAAAAGACTTGCCCCCCCTTAAAGTTATTAATTAGACATCTGTATGCAAACATAAACATTTATTTGGCGGCTGTCTTCTGCCATCACAGCTTCGAGGTTGAGGTTGAGGTTTTTTTTTTTATTTGGCGAACCGAGCAAGTAATTAGTGGCAGACACAAACACACTAACTTAATTAATTAGCATCCGATTTACGTCCCCCCCCCCTTTTTTTATTTATTACCAAGTGAACAATCAAGGTCAAGGTCTCCTCCCATTTCACCGGTGACCTGAAGTTATCGCATTACGTAGGGATATATATGGAGGAGGAAAGACGGAGGGCTGGCTCCAAATTTTTTTTTTTTTTTTTTGTCTTTCTCTCTTGCGTGAAAGTTTGACAATATGCTGCACTGCATACATACAAAACATTGGTTTAATATTAGAATACTGTCCCCCCATCACTAAATCTAATGTGAGGAAAAGCTAACGAGGAATTTACTTGGGAAAAGGGGGGGAGAGAGAAGAATGATACCTATGCATGAGCCTTCTTTCTGCCTTCCAGATTCATCACCACCAGCAATACCCGGCCCCCATCTGAGGCTACTTAGTAGTAATAAGCCGAAACCACCTTGAACCTGAACTTGAAATGACGACACACGGACGCCTTCCCCCGAGACATGGTTTGATTTACTTATGTAGTAGAGACGGCATATGCAGACAGGTCACCCAACATTCGTGGCGTTTTGCTTTGCCACAGAGAGGGGAGATTGGTAGCTCAACCAGGGT